AAGAGAGCGTGAGAATTGTCACGTGATCTCGATGACGCAACACTATGATAAACTTTTGACTGAAGATGGCCTGGACTAATTTTAAAAAACAATTTTAGAAGACATTTTGTAGATGACATATTCCAGTATCACTCTTAATGCTACCCAGCATCTTCTCTACTCTCGGAGCAAAATTTATCTTCATTTATTCTATAACGTATTGTCAACATGTTGATTATTCACTAAGTAACTGTTGTGGTAGGCTCGATGAGCAGTGTTATATTGGCATATTAAGCAAACCAAGCCCCTATAACCCCATAACAATGCATGTTTTCAATGGAATCTTGGGGCTTTACCTCTCATATTGTAAATTCTAGATTTCATTCTTTATAGTGTGTGTTTTTTTCATCTTGACTTCATCTATACTCAGAACCACTTTATAACTTCCCTGTGGTATCACTCTCATTATCTTAAGTAATCAATCAATTTGGCATAAAGAGATATGATACTTTATCATCACTATACGTGGATTCGTTCATTTGAAATTTTCAGCACAAAAAACGAAGATGTTTTATTTCTCGCAATTTTCGACTTGGTATACTCCACTGAAGTGTGAAAGGATATATTGCTGTCATTCAAGTTTACCATTAGCTTACTCTTAGAATATTTGAAATGTATACTTATAAATCTATGCTCAATGTAATTGTTTATTTCATAATTAACGGAGATTTCGTTTCATTTAACGATAACTATTAATCTGATTATCCAAAAGATTCTCTTCATAATCAAACGTTGCTCTCAAATTTTACTCTTTGAAGCAAGTAAAAAGATTTCAATTGCATTCAGTCTGTTTCAAACGTTTTTCTCGTGTTAAAACTATCTATGATATCATAAATTGCGTTTTTCTTGTTTACTTTTTATACACTTGTAAGAAATTATCATTACATATCTCGACTTAAAAGCAACCATTCTGCTGTTTGAAAAATTGTTTTTGTTTTTTAAGCAGATCACTGTTTTTAGTTTGTATCTTATAAGCCTCTCTAATTTTCAATTTAAGATGGTTCTTATTAACTGGAATGAAAGTTATTTGTTTTATTTTAAATACACACGACTTTCGTCAACAGAATGAAATAATAGGTAATGTTTGAACTACATGAGAAATAAAAAAAATCAAAGCGTAGAAGAAGGAACATTTTATTTTTTTAAAAGGCACGAGAAACCAGAATACCTTACAACGCTAGTTTAAGAACCATTACTAATCCATAAACTTGATTATTCAAAGTACGTAGTACACAAGGTAAAAAAAAATGTTCTCCTACGAACGATGAAATTCAAAGTTAAGAAAATATCAATAAGCATATCTAGATAAAAATATTCTACTTAATAAATACGTTTCGCGTTGAAAACCAACAAACTTGTTCAATAACAAAAACTGACCCAAACCTAATTTCTTTTCCTGTTATATATCAGTTTTTGTCAAACATTACCTTTATAGAAACCTGCTCATATACAGTTAATGTGCAGGAAATTAGATGAAACAACTTGCAAAAAGTTCACGAAATTCACGATGTCACTTTGTAATAAAAATACCTCTCCAAACAAATGAAACTTGGTTTACTTTCCGTGCTATTTAAATATCGCAAGTCTCTGGGACATGATCCTGTTAAAAATTAGATGATGTTACTTTTGATACATAAAACACCTAAAAAAAAGGAAAATACGGCTTTACAAAGAACATCGTTTGAAAATGTTAAGTTCATTCGGCAGGTTATGATAAGTAGAATTCACTCTTTGGTTTACATGTATTTCTTTGTTCAAGCTTGGGTTGATGTATTTCTTCTAACATGCATGTAAAAAAAAAAATTACGTGTCATTTTCCTGTACAGTATTTGAACATCGATCTCAGTGTACCAAAAAGAATTCATTTATTTTAACAACGACCTATGTACGCACACACATACTGAAAAATAAAGTTATTTTTATAAAGTACCAAATACACACAGCAAAAACTTAACCTTCCAAGTCAAGGTTATCCTTTACAAAATGAAAGTTTGTTATTATATACAACCGTGGTATACGCAGCTGTGATAGCAAACTTCAGGAATACATAAGAATTTGGCATTTAACGATCTTTTTATTAATTTTTACCTCGCATATTTTTTTGTCACTGATAAAATTATAATGCACCTCTAACAAAATATGATATTGATAATTTAAGAATGCTAATAGTTGTTTGAAATCCAGTTTGATTAGGAAATTGTAGGTGTTTTTAGCTGTGCTGCTAACTTCACCTCACAGTTACTTATCGTGAAGCTCAGCGTATGACACGACTGTGGCGCCAGGCCATCCTTCGCCAGTTGATTAGGGTTATCTCACTTTAATCGTAGAGGGCTGCAACACCGTGCACTCTTCTCGTCTGCACCTGTGTAGAGAGTGAGGAGGTTTCCGTGAGTGGCGCTGTAGTTGATAGAACAAGGGACATTTTCAAGCAAAAACAGCAAAAGCAAAATGCTAGCGAAAGTAGAAAACCCAACACCAAACTAATTGAAAAATAACAAATGAAAACTGTTACTTACGCGTTTCAGACCCGGTGTTTCAATATACCAGGTCAACCATGTAGGAGCATGTCTGAACATGCTAATAATAAAATACAAAACCAGAGAACAAGAAAAGGTTATCCACACTTTAGGTGAGTATTAAGATACACTTATTCTAAGACCAATTTTTTATTTTAAAATGTAAGATGTAGAATATACATGTTTTATTTTATGTTCCAGCATATTCAATGAAAACTTTCATCTAATGCCGTTTCTATCCACCGCACAGTTCCATTTTATCCATTTGCTTAAATGACTAAGTTGGTCCTTGTTTCCTACTTGACTACCAGATGGCGCAGTAGCAACCTGTATCGGCTTCACTGTGAGCTTTTCTCGAGTATTTTTATTTGATTAATCTGCACTTTTGTTTTTCAAAGTCACGCAAGATAAAACGTATCTCCTAATACGTCTCAAAATATCTTGTTAAAATATTAATATCAAACTCTTATGAAAGTGTAGAAACATTGGCCAATACAATGAGATATAAGGTCGTAATTAAACTCAAACGATACAAAGCAAAACTTCGCGTCATTAGAAGTAAAAGATTCTATCTAATATGGTTTTAAAATTCAAAACAAGTTAATTAATTATACTTAGTGCAGTTTTAAATAATTTTGTTTTTTTCTAGAGCAAAGCCTCACTGGGCTATCTGTTGTGTCTACCGCGAAGAATCGAACCCAGGATTTGAATGCGAGAAGTCTGTAAATTTATTACTGTCTCACGGAAGGACTTCACATAAGTATGTCATTTCCGTGAAAACAATATTTATTTAATTCATTTTATATTTGAGATTCTTTAATGATATCTAAGAATTTGTTAGGTGTTACACTAATACAATAACGGTGTTTTCATTTATTTATATTACTTTCTCAAAAATTTTTGTATTCATATTTGTAAGTGTTAGCAATGTGATATTTCTGTAAAGTATTTATTGCAACATAATATGAATGTATGGTAAAACATGGCATATATTACTAAACTCATTAAAATTTCTTCTTATTCATAACAAACGAAAAAATACGATATTTTAATACGTCACTGAAGGGTTTCCATTGGATTAACAAAACTGTTTGTTGTTTTAAAAGTACAGCTCTATGGAACACATTTGACAGAAAAATTCAATCGTGAAACTGCGTTTACCGCAAATGCAAATACACATGCCTTACTACTCTCTATTGATTACCTTCACGTAGCTGAGACTAGTTTTTAGGATTGTAGATCCACTTCATTTAATACACATAAATGAAAAGGAAATAAAAATCATTGTCTTATATTCCTTCTGAAATTACATATCTTACATACATAGGTGGCGCTTTAATCAACCAATTTATGTAAGTAATACGCTTGTATTTGTTTGTCTGCAACTTTTCTCGATCAAATGCTACAAATATCATATCGTTAAAAAGGCCTTTGTCCGAGGAGCCCAGATTGCATATTGGCTTTACAAATCAGAATTATCTTACCTGTCTTTTTCAATATAACGAGTATGCTCACGGTGGCACAATGTCGTTGTCATCACGTGACGACTGAGTTCGATTTCATAGTTTTTTTTTATTTGCAAACTATTTTACACAAAAAAATCACTTAACCCGCGTGCAATTTCCTAAACAAATGGACATTACAATTGGCTTTCTCCACTTATGCATATCACTTTGTGAACACGCATTCAAACGTTTCTGCATATTCAGCTAAGTTTGTCTTCATTATAACTTTACATTTACTTTATTTTGAAATAATTTAGCTTCGGTTCATTTCATTGACTGCTATAAACACCTTTAACTACGTTTTTGTTTAGTACGGGTTTTATTCTTTTTATTTTGTGAGTTTCTTTGTTTCAACTCTCAAAACTGTGTCATTCAGTGAACACTCGTAGCTGTTTCATACTCTGAAAACTATTATAAATACATTTACTATACTTTATTGTTTACTTGTAGTTTTATTAAATAAAGTTACGTCTACATGAGTTTGTTTGCCTGAGTGCGTAAAATGTTTTCAAGTAGACTAGGATTTATCGATCTAACAAATGTGATTGCAAGAAAGCGTAGCTGAAATGGCGTGCGTGAAAATTATAGAATAAGGAAAATTCAAGCGAAGGGCACGAAACTATCGCAAATGTTTAGCAGGTCGCAGCTAGTAAACTAATGGTACAGTAACAATAGATGGAGGACAATTAAAGATTCTATTTACGAGAGATTACATGATTAACTCTAATGAAGAAAAGTCGACAGTGAAAACATAATCTATTTATGTTAGCGACGAAATTATTGGATTATACTAAATCACATAATATTCTGCTTCCTAGTGTTTTTATTGTATACTGTTCTCACAACTTACAGTTACTAATTTTTTGCAACCTGTGAATTTATTTTTATTAATAACAGTAGCAATATTATGAAGAGTTTGTTTATTTGTTTTAGCACAAAGCTATAGAATGTACTACTTGCGCTCTGCTTACCGTGGAGAATCGAACATAGGATTTTTAGCGTTCAAGTTTGTAAACTTGTTGCTGATCCACTGGGGAACATTATGAAAAGACTTGGAACAACAATCGTATAATAAAAAGTGACAGAACTATGTTATCTGTTTGTAAGTAACTTTTGTGCTGCTGCAAACAAGACACAAAAATAGGCTTAGTTTATCGTTAGGGCAACTTTACGCTCGCTTATATTTTATAGCATTGTTATAACTCATTCATACCGAAATATTTGCATTTTTGTAGTTTTAAAGAACAAGGAGTGTGCGTTTCTTGCTTATATTTTTGGCTATCTGTCAATGGTCAGAAAATATCACATTTTCCATTAATGACTTTCAATTCTGTTTTGTGCATATTGAACAAAAACAAGTAAAAAATCTTAACAATGTCGTTGGCACAAAACTAACCCTAGATGGCCTCATGAGCGCGGTCGATCTCCGTTTCATATTTTTTCGACTCCAGACAAAAAACAAACGAGGATGCACAGAAAGTTACCTAAGCAGACATCCTGATCTGCATTAGATTCCGCAAGCGAACTTGGTACAACTTTACCAAACCCGGAAGAATGGATGACGGAATTAATCATTAACACTTAGGATGGAAATCGAACCAGCAACTATCCGAGGAAGAGTCAAAAGCTCAACCCCTGAACCAAGGAAGACACAAACAATATGTATATTGCCTCAATAACTACAAAACACACCATTTATTTTTTAAACACTTAATACACAAGTATAAATGGTAGTTCTCTACAATGTACTTATTAAAAATGCTTGATACTGTAAAATCATTGGTAGCTCGCTATATGTCAAGATAAGCGATCTTATGACATTGTGTAATTTATCTCCTTGCAATGTGTCTGGATCCTATACAGTCATAAAACCTTTACTTTCTAGTGCACTCTGGTAGTAGTGAAAGGCTAAAACAATGCTGCTTTAATCTATAGGTAAAAGAAAAAATATATATAAAATTCCATTATACTTAGTATTAAATATTCATTTGTCTCAGGGGTAAATTTCTGGTCTTACAACGCTAAAAATTGGGATTTGATACCCGCAGTGGCCAAAGCACAAATAGTCCATTGAGTAGCTACGTGGTTAACAGCTAAACAAAGCAAAACGCCCTCCCTCTTTCTTTTCGTACTTCTCTGAGTGGGACTTATATGAGTTGAATTATTTGATTAATGTTAATTTGAAACTAGGATTCGTTTAAAATGGAAAATCAATAAACTAAGCCAAATTAAGTTTTAACAATACTTAGTTTTGAATATATCCAAACACATGAGGGCATTGTCATAATTAAAACTCGTTTAGAATCTCCGCTATCCAAGAGCAATACTTTTAAGAATATTATAACACGATTAACTTTCATGTTATTAGTGAAGCCAAAAACTGGAGAATAACCACATGATTCCTTTTAAATCATTCCCAAGTTTGAAGTCAGTTTGAAGTTATTGTTTAAAAACGAACAGATAAACGCTTTGAAGCGTGTACAGATGTCTTAAATAAAGTGTGGTACAACATCTTGAGAACAGTTCGTTCAGCAGAGCATGGCGGCTTGATTATATGGGCATAAATTATCACGTGACCACGTTTTCTTCAACCTTATCGCACTGTAATATCTACGGACCAACTAACCGGTGTATATTGAATATACTTGTTATCTGCGGGAAAACGGGTTACACAGCAAGCACGTAAATCAAGTTTTTCAGTTTCCTCTTTACAATGGAATAACTACAATTATTTGAGCAGGTCAGCGGTTCTAAGTCAATAAAAAAGTGTCAAAAATCGAAAGGTTCATTCGTTTCAGTTAAAATAGATATTCGAAAGAAAATATACGTAGGAAATTACTTGATTTTTTTTCAGAATCTTCAGAGTACTTTAATTTGTCTGTTATAGAATGCCTTGATGAATTGCTGATTAGTTTAAATACCGTTGATTTGTGGAAGGAAAACGGTGAGAGCGAAAGAAATGAAGTTTTTGTATTTTTAATTTTAGTGTAAAGTGTGTGTGTCTGTTTTCTCATAGCAAAGACACATCGGGCTATCTGCTGCGTCCAAAGAGGGGAATCGAAACCCCGATTGTAACGTTATAAATCCGAAGACTCACCGCTGACACCACCGGGGGACTTTAGTAAAAAGCTACACCAGAGTAATTTGTGCATAGCCGTCACTAATTTTGAACTGATAAACAAGAGGGAAAACAGCTAGTCAACACCAGCCACAGTAAACTCTTGAAGTAGACTTTTCTGACCGAATGGTGGAAGTTGACCATCACTCATATAATGTACAGCCCCCAAGAGCTGAGCGTGCTTTTGCGACACCCTAAAGCGAACCATAAACCACCGGGATCGTAGTTCAAGCACGTTATCTGCTAGGTACTAAGTTTCAGCTTGTTATTGTTGCGTATCTGCTTGTTTGTTAATTTCCGGTAGAAATTCTTTCCGAGAAACTTCAGCGATACAACTCCTT